TCAGATGAAGAAGAGACTTGAGGCAACAGAAACAAAGAAAAGGGTTTAACGGTTATATAATATCAGTCCTCCTATATGGCAGTGAAATGCTGGACAATCTCCTTACAGATATAAGAGACTTGAGGCAACAGAAACAAAGAAAAGGGTAACGGTTATATAATATCAGTCCTCCTGGCATAATGGCAGTGAAAATACAATCTCCTACAGATGAAGAAGAGACTTTATAAACAAAAAAAAAATATGAAAATAAAATATATATATATATATGGCATAATGCTGGACAACTGAAGAGATGAAAAAGAGACTTGAGGCAACAAAAACAAAGAAAAGGGTGCTGAACGGTTATATAATATTCCTCCTATATGGCAGTGAATGCTGGACAATGGCAGATGAAAAGAGACTTGAGGCAACAGAAACAAAGAAAAGGGTCTCGGTTATATAATATCAGTCCTCCTATATGGCAGTGAATGCTGGACAATCTCTTGAAGAAGAGACTTGAGGCAACAGAAACAAAGAAAAGGGGTGCAACGGTTATATAATATCATATATATATGGCAGTGAATGCTGGATAATATATATAGATGAAGAAGAGACTTGAGGCAACAGAAACAAAGAAAAGGGTGCTGAACGGTTATATATATCCTCCTATATGGCAGTGAATGCTGGACAATGTCCTTACAGATGAAGAAGAGACTTGAGGCAACAGAAACAAAGAAAAGGGTGCTGAACGGTTATATAATTCAGTCCTCCTATATTTTTTGGACAATTTCATTATATATATATATATATATAGATATATATAGGCAACAGAAACAAAGAAAAGGGTGCTGAACGGTTATATAATATCAGTCCTCCTATATGGAAGTGAATGCCAATCTCCTCACAGATGAAAAAAGGGTGCTGGACGGTTTTATAATATCAGTCATCTTTTATACTAACAATTGGAAATTTTGCTGTTACACGATTTGAACAATATTGAAAACACCTGTTGCTGTTATTTTAATAATTTTACTTTCAGAAAATTGAAAAAAAGTTTAATATAAAATCTTTAATTTAAAAGTAAAAATCGTTTTCTGTCATAAATATAATTTAAATGTTTTAATTTCAAATTATTAATAGTTTTATTACAGAAAGAATTGGAAAAAATGATCATTGTCGTTGGTGATGACTTTCAAGGTGTTAATATGGCGCCAATTATGTCATACATCCGGGATTGTCCCTCGAGGCCGCCGTCTAAGCTTTCATGTGCTTTCTTTCGCTTCTAAACAAAGTTTTCCTTTATCTCTTTCAGGCCTGCAGTATATAGTGAAAATTAATTGAAAGTGAATAATTTTTAAAAATCTGTTGTGTCAACATTTGACCCTGAGGAATACTGGAATACAGAAAAACATTGTGCTCTGTTCTCAGCCACGCACTGGTTGGTTTCATTGCCATTGAACTTAGAGGCACATAAATATTTTCCATTTCCTCAAAACATATCTCAGTCCAACAAAAAGAATTAAAATCTCGACCAATTGACAAAATATAAAATTAAAAATTTCTAAACAAAAAAAAATCAAAAATCATCTACGACACTCAATTTTCTTTCCATTATTCCTGCTAGGCATTGTGTTTCTGCAGAGTATAATCTTTTCTCCAGGAATGGTCGCCACATATCTTTGCCCAAACCAAATTGAATTCTTATAATAAATTTTGGTTCCAGGGTTCTTCCCTTTTGCCGAAAAGACTACAGTATTCACAGGCATCGTTTGGTATTTTCATCCAGGATAAGCTCTTTTAGCGGAGAACTGATGCTCGCCGCCGACTAATTTTTTTGTGCTTGCGTCTTTCGAAGAAAATCTATCAGCCTCTCTTTTTTCCCATTATCTCGTCTTCCCAGGACTGTTTATATACACCGTTGTGGAAATTAATTGCAAAAAAACGAATAATTCCGTTATTATTTACTTTTTTCTGTATTTTCTCAATAAAACATGACGCAGTGCGCATTTAGAACTGCGTTGTCCATTCCACGAAGCCTTTTCTTGCAGATTGACTAAACTCTCGATTTCATTTAAATCAGCAGACCTTCCGTCAATAATTTTTGATTTGCTCAAAAGGCCTACGACTGTTCGTTTTTTACAATTTTCGTATCTTCCTTGGGTAACGTTCATCGCAGACAATGGCGGTAAGACAACTAATCGACAAATCGAACAATAGTGTCTGGTTGTGATAAAAATCTGATGCATTCACGGATGATACAATGGATTTTTCAAAAGCCAAACAAATTTCATCATATACCCCGAAAATAGATTCATATTACTGCACATCACTTCAATCTGGCCATATAGAAATTTAAAGTGTCCCTCCAGTTGGTCTAAAACTGAACGTATGATGAAAGAAAGGAAACTAAAGGGTTGTTTTAAAATTTGCACAAGGGTGTAAGACGTTTTATTTTTTTTCATCCATCTGCGAACAGCTTTTGTTTTCGTTGACTTTTCTTCTTACGATTTTTGAACCCTCTAAAGATACTGATTTTGCGGTCCGTCAAATTTTTCCATTGACTAACCCACTACCATCGCGGACTTCTCCCATTTTTATCGCAAAATCGAACGATAATTTCTCAGCTCGATTTATTTCTTACCGCCATTCCACGTTCTTGTCCATCTTCAAATTCTGTCCTCTTGGGAACTCGACCACACTGTGGTTAAGTATTCAAATAACAACTTTAGTTTCATAATGAAGTTCCGTTACCATGCACCAGCCTAATAAAACATTTTTCATTAGAAAACATTTTCATTTTACAACATATGTTTTGTATCTATATTGAGATAAGACTGTTATATATAACTTGCAGTGCAAGAACATATATATGGATGAAATATAAATATAACAATATATATTTCTATGATCATACACCATAAACTGCTATTATCTGTAGAAGTGAAAGTATGGCATGAAGCCAGCTGTAACATGCAAAGTAACTTGAAATCAAATAGTTGCAAATTCAAATCCTTGGTCACAGATAAATAATAGTTATCCCCCTTTTCATTTACACTATTTAAATGTAGAATTATCTTCACCTTTTGTTGTTGTTATCACAACGTTTCGGTTGTTGTCCCCGCCAGGCCTTCATCAGGTGTATAAAATCCGGGTAACCCACAGGCGAATTCCGCAATGAACCATGTATTTAATCTACGTAGGGTAGACTGCTCTCGTTCGATTGCCTTGTCTCGGATATCGTTTAGTTAGTATCTTTAGGGAGGACATGTCTTGAGAGTTAAGTTCTCAAGGCGAATTAACTAAAGGCATGGCGCGTGGAATTAGAACAATCTAACCCCTTAGACGAAACAACAAATATCTTCGAGGAAAAGCTGTAAATTGAGAATGATCGCCAGGTTCAACTGGCATTGTCGACCAGCAGATGTTCTAAATAAGGAATCTTTCTACACCACCAAAGTTTTAGACATGGAAAAAAGAAAGAATTACACGAAAATAAAACACTCGGTTTTCGCACACACACACACCAGTTAACCCCGGTTATTATTATCATCGTCATTTTAATGGTGCGAAGTTTTAAGCTTGCTCCTGTGGAGGGCTAATTGAGTCTCAGGTCCAATTTGAAGGACCTCTGGTTTTTAGAAAAAACAATGATAATTTTCAAGAAATAACTTTTTTTCCTCAATTCACTCCATGTAACTTCAAAACTTTGCTTTAACTCTGATTCGGGCTATAAGTCCAATTCCGACCAAAAAGACCGAATGGGTCCGAAACCCAATTTGATCCGAAACACCTATTTGCGTCGAAACTACGATTTGGCCCGAACCCGATTTGGTCCGAAAACCGTTTCATGTCCGAAAACTCCAATGCGGTCCGAAACCCGAATTAGGTGGAAACTTGATTTGGGTCAAACACCGGTTCGGTCCGAAACTCCGATTTGAGGAAACTCCAATTTGGGTCGGAACTGATTTGGTCCGAAACCACGATTCGGTCCGAACATGATTCGGCCCGAGAATCCGATTTGGGCCGAAATTCCAATTCAGGCCGAAAATTGAGTTCTTCAAATTACAAACTCTGTGGAACTTCAAAACCACACGTCACGAAACCTCTCACTTTAACCTGATTCTTTTGGTATAGAAGAAATAAAATTGATTTCCTCAATTCACAAAGTTTTGGCATATTTTTTGGCTCCTAATTTAAAAATAAACTTTTTAATATCTGTCTATAATTTGAATTATGATCCACTATTTACATTGACATCTATCATCGTCATTTTTGTTGCCATATTTAAAAACGTTTCGGCCTTTCAGTATTGATATATTTCTGAGATGAAGTTTTGTACAAATTTACATTGCTCGGACTATCATCTTCATTTTTGTTGCCATATTTATTACAACGTTTCTGAATTCAGTATCTTTTTATTCTGAGAAGAGGCTATTATGTAATGAAGACAGCGACATTATTCGGACTATTGCCCTCATCTTTGTCGCCATATTTATTACAACGGTCGGCCTTCAATATCTATATTTCTGAGATGAGGTATTATGTACACTATTTACATTATTCAGACTATTGTCTTCATCTTTGTTGCCATATTTATCACAACGTTTCAGCCGTTTGTACGCTCCAACCTTTTTCAGGAGGTTGGAATGTCGAACTGAACCCTATATTTCGCTCGCTGGGGTAGACTGTTCTAGTTCCACGTGCCATGTTTAATGGATGTCAGTTATCGGTTATCTCCTGTTAGTTCCCCTCTCCTAGATATCCACTGCCTTAACCGGGTATTGAACTAACACCGAACTAACATCAGCTGTGCCATGTGTCCTCAAGGCGTTAGTTAGATCCAGTGACAGGGCCAAAAAGAGTGTGAGTTCAATGTTTTGGTTTTGTTTATAAATACTTGGTGCTACAATGCATAATATAAAGGACCATCAGAAGGAATAACGTATATGCAAAGATAAGTTTTCCTTTCAATAGTTTGTCTTAATTTATAATAGATAGACGATAGATGACGATAGATAGAGTTATATAGAGAGAGAAATAAACTTATAGATATATAGATAGATAGAAATAAACATAGATATATATGAATTGACGATAGATAGATAGATAGATAGATAGATAGATAGATAGATAGATAAACTTATATATATGAATTGACGATAGATAGATAGATAGATAGATAGATAGATAGATAGATAGATATTGATATATTCAGATAGATATGAATTGACGATAGATAATGTCCGATTAAAGATTAAAATTTTAGTTTTATCTGAATTTTTCTTGAAACATGGGGGAAGATTCCCACACACACACACACACACACATATATATATATATATATATATAGATATACTGAAATTTGAAAATTGTGACTCTTAACCTCTACAGTAATAGATATTCAGAAATAGATAGATATATAGATAGATGTACAGACAGCGATAGATAGATAGAAAGATAGATCGATGTACACATACAGCGATAGATAGATATATAGATAGATAGGTATTAACAGACTTAGATAGACAGATGAACAGCGATAGACAGAAAGATAGTCAGAAGTAGACTTACATATAGATACATACATAGAGAAATAGAAGGCAAAAGAGAGAAATAAACTTACAGATATATAGATATATATTAACGAATGACAGGTAGGTAGATAGATAGATAGATAGATAGATAGATAGAAAGGAACAGATTAACATATATATATAGAGAGTGAGAGACAGAGAGAAATAGATAGAGTGAGAGAGAGATAGATGGATAGATAACAACGGAATTATATATATATATATATATATATATATATATATATATATATATATATATGTATATATATGTATATGTATATATACAGATAGATAGATAGATAGATAGATAGATAGATAATCGCATTTATTGACCTATTTCTTAAAATTTCCTGCGATATATAATTTAATTTCGTTTTTTTTTTTATATTCTATTATGAAGCCAGTATGGTCACTGATTAAAAACTGTCTTGCCTCTTATTTGTTATTAATTTATATTATAAAAATATAAAAAAAAAAAAACAAAGATAAGAGACATATTTACAGAGATAATAAACACAGATAGATAACTAAACACATAAAACAGATTCACGCCTATGCATATACACACACATACACACACACAGACACACACACTTACTAGTACGCATATCATATACACACACACATTTGCACAAACACACACAACACACACACACATATATATATATATATATATATATATATATATATATATATATATATATATATATATATATATAAAAAAAATGAATTATAGATAGAATAGACTTTTAATTAAAATACCCCAAAATAAAAATATAAGTTTATAAAGATAAAACACAAGCTGTGAATAAACACGAGAATAAACAGACTATGTAGCAGAAGTTCAATCCTAAATAAAAAAAAGGATATTTAATAAAAAAAATGGAAATGAAGTGTGAACCAGGCAATATATATAGAATAGAAATATTAAAAAAAAAATAAAAAAATAATATAAAAAGCTAAATGGATATGAAAAAAAAAGATAAATAGATATGCAGATATGAACAGATGGAACACATATTTCATGTAGATATATTAAGAGACATATTTAGATAGATAGATAGATAGATAGATAGATAGATAGATAGATATGAACAGGTTTAGATAATCTAGATTTTGCAGATATATATATTATAGATAGATATTTAGATAGATAGAAATAAATAATATATATATAAATTTGATATAGATTTAGTTATATATAACAATTTCCTGAATAAACTTATAATATAGATAGATAGAAATGAAATATAAATATATATGGATTGAATCGATAGATAGATAGATAGATAGATAGATATTCTATATATTCATTGTATATAAATATATATATATATCTTCATATATGATAAAATATAATTGACGATAGATAGATATTAGATAGATCAGACAGAAAGATTAAAATTAAATAAATAAGACATTAGACATTGATATATTATAATGGATAAAACAATTGAAAATGATAGATAGATAGATAGATAATTAAATAGATAATAGATAGATTTCACAAATTGATATCTTCAGATAGATATGAATTTACGATAGATGACAATGATAGATAGATAGACAGACAGACAGACAGACAATTTGCATTGATATATTCAAAATAGATATGAATTTAAGATAATCTCATCTAGATAGATAGATAGAAATAAACTGGTAGATAGATAGATAGATAGATAGATAGATAGATAGATAGACATTGATTTATCCAGATAGATAGATAGGATAGTGGAGCGAGAGATAGGTGCAGAAAAACTGATATACATTGGTAGCTTTGAGCACGTATCCAATATATTGTCACGATTTTAATCATATAGGTTGTTATATGATAAACGCTAGCAACAAAAGTATGTCCCTAAACTGGAGTTCGTTTCTTGGAGTCCTATTCTATAATGTCGCAGAAAAAAAAGAAAAAATGATGAAAAAAAAAAAATATATATTTTCATATATTAAATTTCGTTCAAAGTAACAATTGATCTTTGAGTCACTATGACAAAATGGAATCTCATGCACTATCAAAACGAACACGAACTTGTTGAAACAAAAAAAATATATATATATACATATACATTCACATATAAACATACACTATCTCAAGTTGTTTTGCTGATACTTTTATTATATATTATCATTTATATATATATATATATATATATATATATATATATATTGACAGATAGATTGCAATATGCTTACAGCTGTTCTTGAGGAATCATTAAATGTATAGAGTTAAAGTACACTTTAAAAGAACCGAAAACACAATCCTTAATAGGAAACATCTGTTAAAACTCTACCCCTGTTCAATGGCCAAATAGGATAGGAATATTTATTTCATCGAACATATCTACACCTAAGACAGGTATATGGATATATATATTTAATATCAAAATTTTCCAAATAGATAGATAGATAATAGATAGATAGATAGATATTATGGTAATAGATTTTGAAAATTATGGTGGCGTCATTCAATAAATTTATTATGAAACAATATATTGGTATATTTATATAACATATAAACAAGTGATAACACTCTACCCCTGTTCAAAGGGCCAGGGATGAGTAGAAACAGGCCGATATTCGAACATATCTACTCCTATAGACAAGATCGATAGATAGATAATAGGTACAAAATTTTCGAAATAGATAGATAAATAGATATGAAAGGAAAACCTGATTTTTAATTTCATACACTAACGACATTTTAAATAAAATGTTTGAAAGATTTAATCAACTGCTAGATATCCCATTAGAAGAACACAGTAAATATTTAATGACCTCCCATAAATTTAAATAGATGTGGCAAAAATATGAATTTTAAAATTTGTTAAATTCTATGATTTATGACACAGCCTCGTCTGGGTCTGTTTTCATCTTTTGATATATTTATAGATTTGTTTATATATATTTTCGAGATATATATATATTATCAATATATATATATTCCAAGATTTATAAGGATTGATTATAGACCATAGATACCGTATAACATCATTATATCTATCTATCTATATATATATATATATATATATATATATATATATATTATATATATATAAATATTCATCAAAATTCTAATGCAAAGGTTAATGATTTAAATTTTTAGACATCCATATTTATAATATTGTTTAATAATATATGTCTCGCCATCTAAATCATTAACCTTTGCATTAGTTTTTATGTGAATAATTCATGAATTTGTAAATTGATTGCACGTTTATCGTAATTTAAATAACTGATCCAAGTGCGACTTTTGGATAATAAGTGCGACATTACTGTAATTATTGAACAATATAGTTCATGCCACTTTGACAGAAAAATTTACCAGTAAAAATTTGTTCATCACCATATTTTATATGAACGCACAAACTTTAAAAAAAATTTAAAATCAAACTCAGCGTTGCTTTTGCGCGTTCAAAAAACAATAACTCATTTTTCAATAGCATTTTCGGATACAACAATACATATATTTTCGTTGTCCTCTTATTACTAAGAGAAAAAAAGAACAACATCTATTCTATACCTGAAGATGTCTGTAGGAACAGACGAAAGCTTGTAGTAAAAATAAGAACTAATACGGCAGAAATTTATATAAACAAGGATCATTTCAATCATAACGGATTCGGAGGTTTTTGAAAATTATTTGAATTGTTTGCGATGATGGATGTCTCGCGATTTAAATCATTAACCTTTGCATTAGTTTTTGTGTGAATAATTCATGTATTTGTAAATTGATTGCACGTTTATCGTAATATATATATATACATTCAGGCCGGTAAATGTTAATAAAACGGTTTATTATATACAGAGCATTTATTTAAATATTTGTATCAAAAAAAAATAATGTATAAACATGGAAATGTCTTAAAATAATTGTCGGAATTGTCAATTTCAACATATATATATATATATATATATATATATATATATATATATATATATATATACAAGGTCTCCATAAAGTCCGTGTGCACTTTGAAAAATTTTAACTTTATTTGCATTTGCGATAGAAATAATCTGTAAAAAATGTTATAAAGTTTAATGTACCTAGTTTTAAGTATAGCTAAAATAACTGTGATTTCAGGCATTACTGTAAATCAGTTGGCAAATGTTTTCCGTGAAATTCAAAATCATATTGCCCTTTGTATTGCTAATGATGGAGCACATGTGGAAACTTAAATAAAATTTCTATGAAACCTTAAAGAATATACATTTATTTATTTTTAATCCTTTTTACAAATTATTTTTTCATCTATCGTTTCATTTTTCGAAGTGTTATCTGATGACCGAGAGTCCCTTAAAAGGGCTCTGGTGAAATAAATTATTATAAAGGAACCTTAAAAACATTTATGTTTTCCTTTAAATTATTAGCTCTGGATTTTCATTGATTTCTCAGGATTTAATGCTAATTTATTTACTACCCATACGGATTACCAAGTTTTTATATATATATATATATATATATATATATATATATATATATATATATATATATATATATAAAATCAGCTGATTTAAAATATGGTTTCTTTATAGTACGCAGGAATTATCAGGTTTCAAAAACCCAAGCTAAAATCTTCAAATTTAATTATATAATTCAATTAAAAGCATTAGTTCTGTTTCATCTTCAAGCGAATTTTAGAATAACTTATTTTTAAATTTACTGAGATTTAAACGCACATATAATTCATAATTTCTTGGTTCCAAAGATACAGAGAAATCCAATCATTGATTGGAACCATGGTAATTCCTGTGTAGCGAAGAAACCATATTTTAAATCATTTAATTTATAATATTTATGCTCTGTAAATTTACATTGACCACTGTTTTGTAAAAATAAAAATATCAATAAGAACACCGTATTATATATATTATAAAATTTTTTTTATATATATATATATATATATATATATATATATATATATATATATATATATATATATATATATATATCAGATAGAGACAGAGGTAGAAGCAGAGAGATATGAGATTAAGAGATTGCGATAGATAGATAGATAGATAGATAGATAGATAGATAGATTTTGATATAGATAATGGAAAATGGGGTGTCATAGGAAGATTAGCTAGAGATATATATGTATGTATGTAGAGAGAGAGAGAGAGAGAGAGAGAGAGAGAGAGAAGAGAAGAGAAAGAGATTTGAAATAGAGAGATTAAGAGACTAGATAAATAGATAGATAGATAGATAGATAGATAAATAATGGAAGAGGGTTGACAGTAGCAAGATAGCTAGAGAGATATATATATGTATATATATATATATATATATATATATATATATATATATATAGAGAGAGAGAGAGAGAGAGACAGACAAACAGACAGACAGACACACACAGAGATAGAGAGAGAGAGAGAGAGAGATTAAGAGACTGCGATAGATAGATAGATAGATAGATAGATAGATAGATAGATGTTGTTGGCCGAATGTTTCAGTCTTTAAACCTCAACATTTTACCTACAATGCATTCCTTTTGACGCTGTTGGGCATTTTGTCGTCAATTATTTTCCTTGCTTATCTCACTTTTTTCCGCCATTTCGTCCTTAGGGGGTTGCCAGCAGATCATGGGTGGCCATCTTAATATTTCTCTATTCTTACAAAAGCAGTTTGTAAACTCTTCTCATTTTCTCGCATGTCGCTTTTACCTCAAGACAACTGATTGCCCCCTGACAGATCGCAGAAGCTCGTACACGCATATAAATGTCTCCTATCGATTCGAAGCAGGAAAGCAATCCTTTCCCTTGTTCTACAAGTCGTCATTGTAATACAGTGTTCTTTGACTGAGAATTCTAATATTAATTTCGTGTTCCACTTCCATAGACCTACCAAAGTCGCTACGTGCCCCAAAAAACGCGACCAATCATTTTAACAATCCATATCGACAATATAATCATCCGAATGCTGATGAACAGAGCACGTCGCAGAATTAAACAGGAAATAGGTCATTGTGGGGTTTCGTTAAAGCCATAGGAACAAGGAATGTGATATTTATGTTAAGCATTGCAATGAGAATTACAAATTGCAGATACCGAAATCAAACAAGAAAAAACATTTAATGTGTTTTAACAGAGGACGGAATGTTCGACACCGAAATCCGAAGATGCACTGAAAGAGCGAAACATGCCTTCCAAAAGCTAAGTAGAGTATTAGGAAAAAGGAAAAATTTCGTTGGAAACAATGTAAAGAATGGTGAACTGTTGCGAAATATCAGCATTTGTATATGGCAGCGAATGCTGGCCAGTCTGCTCACAGATGAAGAAGAGACTTGAGACAAGAGAAATGTAGTTCTACAAATAGCAGATACTGAACTCAAACAAAAACAAACATTTAAATTTCCGGGATGTACTTTAAGAAGGACGGAAAGTACGAGACTGAAATCACAAGACGCATTGGAAGAGCTAAAGATGACTTCTAAAAGTTAAGCAATCTACTAAGAAACAAGAAAAAAATAATTCGTTAGAAATAAAGAATAGAGTACTAAAATGTTATGTGATATCTGTCTTCCTGTATGGCAGTGAATCCTGAACAATCTCCACATAGATTAATAAGAGACTTGGCGGCTACATAA